ATTTCACTATTCATTCAGCAGGTAGGCCTCAGGGTGGGAACTGGAAAGTACACAGGTACAGGTGAGATTCGAGTGGTCCGCAGTCCACTGGGTCAAACCTGAGCCTTTACCTTCAAGTCTCTGGTTTGGGAGAGGCCAGAGCTTCTATGACATGTTTATAAAGCTGAGCCCTGCCTCTCTAATGCTAACTGGAAACCCCCCATGTCAGACCCACTTAGGTTCAGCCTCAGGAATGGAGAAGCTGGTGAGATCACTGTCCTTTGGTTTCTACTTCCCAGTAAGCAGAGCAGCAACAAGGATGTGGCAAAACAGCCACAAGAACCCTGGCAGAGACTCTCAGGGGCTAGGAGCAGAGCCAATGGACCTCTGGGGTCATGAAGCTTCTCCCTAGGCCCCTCCCCACTTTACATAAGAGAAAATCATGGCCAGAATGGAGGAGCAATGTAGCCAAGAGCTCCGCGGTTCAGAAAACTACACAGGAGCGTCCAGCCCTTGTCAGGATGGCCTCACGCCAGAGAGACCTGGAGGCTAAGCCCTGGACCGCAAAGGGGGAACTGGCCTCTCTAGGCCCTTAAGGAGATGATAAAGATGCAGCACCTGTGGCGGCATAGAAGCCAACCTGGGTTCTGGGCTCAGGGCCATCACTGATGATCTTTATGACCTTAGGTACATCCTTTCCCCTCTCTGGACCTCAGTTTCCCACCCATACAATAAACAAGTCCAATCAGGTGACCCCAAAAGTCCTTTCCATCTCTGACATTCAGGAACTTTCTGACCCCCCTGACCCTCCCAAGGGACAGCCCTCTCTATCACAGGGCGGAGAAGCTGGTACCTCTAGCAGATGAAAGGTATTCGGCACCTGAGATATCAAATAGCCCTGATCTGAAGCAAAGACAAGAGAGGAGATTAACGCATTTAAAGCAATATGCTTTGATTTTCAATCCCCTGTGCAGGTTGGGGGAAGGGCACCCCAGAAAGCACCTAGGGAGCTCTGGGTACAGGGCTTAGGGGTTCAGGAAGCTCTTTTTCCTGAGGCATCTTGGGAGGAATGTGAGGTGAGCTTCTACACTGTAAGCAACAAGTGTGTGAATTTCACACCCACTACCACCAGAGGTGGCCCTGTCTGTCCATCCTTCCCTTCACCTCTGGACCCCATCATTTGTGTGAGCCAAAAAAACCTTTCTTCCTCTCAAAATCAGAGCATATGGGGTTCAAAAACCCAGCGTTGGAAGGGATCTAAAGGGCCATAGCACCCACATACGACTCCCTACAAGCCACCTCCTTAAGCTCCCTTGCTTAGTACCCAGGAAAATGGGTATGTGGGCTCTGCAGGAACACACCCTCTGAGTTCCCAGAGAAACTGAGCCCATTAAGGGGCCGCTCTAATTGTTAGAAAGCTCCTCCTTGTTATTACAGGTTGAAGTTTTCCATTAGCTGTCATCGATCCTGACCTCTTTCTGTAATGTGTGGAGAAAGGGTAAGAAAAAAAACCCTTTCATTGTGAAGTTAAATATGCATGATCCCTGAGTACACAGCAAGGCTTGTGCAGCTGCCAATCTGGGCTGGCATGGCTTAGAATCCTGAAATTGTTTTAAGACTGGAAGAAAGCTTAGCGATCATCTGGGACAACCTCCTTGTTTGACTGATGGGAAAACTGAGGCCCCAAGAGGGACTGACTTGCTCACAGTCACACAGGGTTCTAGGGGCTGATGACTGCCTCTGGAATATGGATGGCCCCCAACAGCTGAGACTTTTCTTAGAGTTCACTCTGGATCCCCAGGGTGTCCTGGGCCCCATCCAGACATTTATCTCCAGACTCTGGAGTCAGAAACACAAAGGGCAAGACCCAGCTCCACGACTTCCCAGCTATGGGACTTTGGACAATGACTTAACCTCTCTGGGTATTTCCTCATCTGTAAAGTGGGGAGAGTTTCTACTGCTTGAGGTGGTTGTGATGATTAAATTAGTCCAGTAAATATTTGTTAAGAGCTTACTGAATGCCAGGTTTGTGTCAGGCACTGAGGAATACAGCAGTGAACTCTGATGCAATGGACGTAATGCACGAGCGAAGTGCACACAGAGACCACTCAGGGGGGTTGATTCCTGTTGTATCACCCTGCCCATGCTGCTTCCTGGCTAAGATGCTATGAGCTGTGACCCTGGGAAGGCACCCAGGGCCCTTTACCTTCTTTCCCCTTACCCTGAATCGTAAGAGAGGGCTGTGAAAAGAGTCCCATGCTAGGGACCCACTGCCCACAGGGTTCTGAACCATATACAAGGAATAGGTGGGCATTTCAGGGTGTCTAGGGATCCTTTCATCCCTTTCTCCCTCCCCACCACACTCAGCAGCCTGTCCTGAGCAAAATGCCCAAAGCATCCTCCGTTGGCCTGTGAGACAGCTAGTCTCATTGGCCTGTGAGACAGCTGGTCTCAGAGTCAGACTGCAGCTTGTGCCCTCAGAATAGACACAGGCCTTTAGAATATACATGCTGTCCAGGTCCCTTTCACCAGCATAGCCCTTTGCAGGTTGCAGACCAATTTCATAGCCAAATGATCTTGTGGAGTAGTGGCCCTCTCTGAACCAGTGGCTTTAGGTCAGCCTGTGATGTGCAGGAGCTATCCGAAGTGCCTTGCTCATGCTGTTGCCTCCTAGAGCCCACCTACTGCCCTGCTGCTCACAGATGAGAAGACTGGGGGCCAGAAAGGCCAAGGTGCTGGCCCAGGGTCATGCAGCCAGAGTGGAATTGGGGATTAATCTATAGTCTTCTGATGCCCAGGCCTGGTGCCATTTGTCCACAGTGCCCACTGCCTCCTAGATATGGAAGCAGCCCAGAGAGAGAACATAGGGGTCTGAGGTTGGCCATACAGTAGGCCAGGGGAAGCACCAGGTCTCCTGACTCTGAATTCACAGTGCTTTCCGCAGCCCGCCCCACATCTGTGGGCAATTACAAGTCCCAGCTCTTCTTCCCACAGAGGAGGGCAGGCTGACTGATAACTACTGTCTACCAGGAGGGTGCTGGCCAGATGGTCTCCTTCCTCTCCCAGGACTAAGCCAGGGCCCAGGTGGACCTTGGAACAATCAGACCTGAGGCTGCACTTTCTGTTGGGAGTAGGTGCTGAAGCCAGGAGCAGGCTCTGTGGGAGGATGGGGATTCTCTCCTCTGGTGAGCACATGGGTTATGACTTTGGATTCAGGAAGACTTCAGCCTAAATACCAACACTACTAACTGTGTGACCCTAAGAAAGTCACTTGGCTTGGTTTCCTTATCTGCAAAATGGGTAACAACACTGAAGTAATAGCACCAATTTCAAAGACCTGCTTTGAGGATTACAAGGTACGTGAGGTACCAGGCACTGTGCTTGCATGGAGTAGATGCCCAGTGATGGGGATCACCATGACTATATGTCCCCAAGTGCTGTGGATTCAGGGTCTTCTTGGAGATGGGGAAAGACTACATGACTTCAGAACATCTGGGGGTCACAGGGAAGAAGTGTCTCTTCTCACAAGGACACATCTCCCTGCTTGCAATAGACAAATGAAGTCTGGAGGAGCTGTGTGATGTTTTGGAAGGGCACCTGAAGGAAGGCAGGAAGCCTGGGTTCTGGTCTCAGTAAGTCCCTCTGTCCTCTCACCAGCATGTTTTTTTGGCCTCACTGCCCATCCAGGGCTGGGTGTTAGGGACAGAACACAAGATGGAGAAGCTTGAGGCTTGAACAATTTCTGCTGTGCAAACAGAACACAAGCAGGTTCCAGCACGAAGTGCATGGCAAGCGCCTGGAAGACTGCAAGAGCCCAGGAAGGCTGCCTGGAAGAGGTGGAGCATGGAGGACCCTCAAAAGAAAAGAGACAAGGCAGGGCATTCCAGGCAGGGGGAGAGAGGAGGCCAATGACCACAGGCAGGATGATACACATTCCTTCTGGGAATTCTGGGATCTGACTAGCAGGAACAAAAGGCTCAAGTTTGTAGTAAAGGGGCAAGGAAAGCTTACAACCTCGCCAAGCTCTGCGTCTTACTAACAGTGTGGCTACAGTTATGTGGCTGCTGTGAGTCTCAGGTTCCTTATGTGTAAAGCAGAGGTAAATGCAGTCCCCTCCCACCCATATGGGGTTGTGGGTGAGCATTACACAAGCTCATTCTAATCAAGCACTCAGCATAGGCCTGGCAAGCAGTGCCAGTAAGCAGCAGCCGCTGTTAGGAGTTGGGGCTTTTTACGGGCACTGGGGAGCCACAGCAGGATTCTGGGCAGGGAAGCAGTGTGATCGGACTTATGTTTTAGAGTGGCTTGGCGATAGCATAGAGGCCAGAAAGAGGAAGACAGTGAGGGAAGCCGAGCAGCCGCTTGGGACTAAGAGAATGGCCCAGTGGCCAAGTCCTTCACAGAGGAGCCCCCACATAGGGCAGCTGGAGCCCAGATCCCTGGCCCCAGCAGTATGAGCACTAGATGGGTTGCCACAGTTCTCCTCTCCCTAGAACTAGGCTCTGGGGGTTTGGAAGGACATCTTAGGAATCTGGAAAATTTGCAAATCCATGTAAATCCACAAAGGTTGCCTAGTGGCCGACTGGCCTAGAGCCAGAATCTTAGAAACAAGGCTTGAGCCAAGAGACAGGGGCTAAGGCCCTGAGGTGCCCAGTGCCCTATTAAGTCCCCTTTCTGCGTACCCTGCTTGCCTTCTCCCAACTCTCCTCTCCTGCCCCTCCCAGTTTCCGGATCTCGGACTGTGCTTTGGCGGTCCTGCCTGGCACCCAGAAACCTTGGGGGATGTTTGCTGAGGGCAGGGGCAGCAGAGATGAGGAGGCAGAGGCCCCTGCCCCAGAGCAGGGGAAAGGAGAGAACTGTCCTCCAGCCCTGACATCCCTTGCAGCACCCCAGCCTTCTCTCCTCATCTGGTTTTGTTAAAAATACTTTCCATTTTTTATCTACCCGAAAAAGTACAGAGGCACGGGCTGGGGCAAGGAGACCCAGCACCGGGTGGGATTCCCACCTTTCCCAGCACTTACCTTCTGTGATAGCTTCTGTCACCCCCTCCAGGAAGTCCTCCTTACTGCCCTCTTCCTGTTATCAGAAAGACTTTTGCCAGACTCAAAGTGAGCAACAGCTGGGTAGATGGGCAGGCAGAACAGCTACAGGCTCCTGGAGACTCAGAAGAAGGGATGGAGGGAAGGGTGCTGCAGGGGTGAGGAGCAGCCCAGGTTCACCTCACTCCCAAAGCATCCTTGGGAGGAGCAGATCCGCAGAGGGGCTACTCTGGCTCGCTCCCTCGCTCCTCTCTTGTCGCGTTGATCTGCTCTCTGGCTCCAAGATGCTCACAGAGCGATCCTGGGCCCCAGACCCGCAGACAGAGACTGCGGGCTGCTGGCAGCCCCTGGTGCTCACACCACTGTGAGCTTCCCTGCCTCCCCCCCTCACTTGGGGGAAAGGCTGTAGGGCGGCCTCTGATTGGCCCAGCTAGGAGAAGCGGGGCGGGGGGCAGGGAGGGTGGACGCGTGCGTCTGTTTTCAATTTCAGTTTTTTTCCTTTCTCTCTTTCTTTCCCCCCAAGTTTCTTGTTTTTCTTCTTCTTTTCCCTCTGCTTGCTCCCTCCCGTTACCCGTTCTCTCAGGATGTGAAGGGATGTTTAGAAATTCCACAGCCCACGCCAGCCGCCAGCCGCTGAGTCACTTTTATTCGAAAGTGGCCTGACCCCACTTGCCTGATGCCCATCTCTGGTGATGGCCTCCCCTTGTCATGGCACCTGGTAGGAAGGAGGAGTCCTTTCTCTGTGCCTCAGTTTCCCCATCTGAAAGGAGACTCTGGTAATGTACATGGTTGATCCAGTCAATATTCATTCTTTGAACAAACATACTGAGCGCTTACTATGTGCTAATACCGTACTGGGTTCTGGGGACACAGAAGGGAGTAAAATACAGAGGTCTCTGACTTAAGGGACACCAGGGTGGACAGACAGGTACCTGCGAGGAGGTCAGCGGGCTGAGAGTGCATTTAGAGGGACATCTGACTGAGGCTTGAGAAAACCAGAGAACACTTCTGAGAAGAGGTGACTTGGAAGAGATGAGAGATCTTTCAAGATGATCAGTCACTTTTCAGAAGGAAAAAACCAAAGCCCAAAGATGAACTAGCACAGACAGGGAAAGTGATTTGCCCAAAGTTACCCAGCACACTTCTTTAGATTTCCAGACACATCCCTTTAGCATCTCAAAGTTCCTAGGTACCAGGAAAGGAGTATTTGCCTTGTTATGTTGATGAGCTAACTGAGACCCAGAGGAGCAAAATGAGCTTCCCAAGCTCATGCAACAATGACAGAGCCGGGGCAGAACCAGGTCTTGAGTCACGTGATAGATGGGACCCGGATCATCTGACCCCCACCCAAGACCCACGTTCCAGTGTAGACTGGCCGTCCGACCCAGCTGCTTCCTAGGCTGCCCCTGTGGCTCCTCCTTTCAATCACTCAACAAGATATTTTCAATGATCTGTTATATTTGATTTCCATTTTCCTGTCTTCCTTCTCCACCAGGGTCTGCCAAGCCTCCTCTAGGGCCTCCACTGGGTCTCTTCTTCCATCCTTACTTCCTCTGGTCAGTCACAGTCAGACTCCAGGCCTCAGTTGCCAAGAGGCATTGTTCTAAAAGGGCTTAGAGACCTGAGATGAGCCACCCATTCTCACTACCACACACATGGGAAACTGGATCCTGGAGGGAGAAGAAATGTGTCCCAGGTCACATAGCCTTCTACTCTGCCCTCTGCACTTCTGTCTAAACCTTTTCCTCCCAGCCTCACCTAGGCCCCTTTTCACAGCACAGTGGGACTTGTTCCAGCTGAGATGCCATGCAACCACAGTCTTGTATCTTGCAATCATTTCTTGGTCTTGTCCCAGTGGAGACTGCCCAGCAGACTATCTGGGCTGGGCTGCACAAAAGGAGAAATGTTCTCAGACTGGCTTCAGATCACAGGGTGGGGCTCAGGAGGGTCTCTCAAGATAGGGGGACAGGCCAGGGCTTAGCACAGGGATCTTGGTGAGATCCCATAGAGCAAAGGACCAGGCCCAACTCTTTGGGATCTCTTGTGCTCAAAGAGTCCCTCGGAAAGTTACAACTCCCCTCCCAGCATCTGCCTTGGCCATTCACCTCAAAAGTCTTGGCTCAACGTGTAACCAGGACCTCTCAGGGGGAGCAAAGAGGTGTTTCAACCCTTCATCCCCAAAGAAAGTAGTCTAGGAGTCAGAAGACCTAGCTACAGAATTATTAGAAGATTTTAGATAAGTCCTTTGTCCTGCCCTAGCCTCAGTTTCCCCATCTATACATATGGAGTGGACTCACTGTGCTGGAAGACCCTTGGGGCACTGTGTCTTCAATTTCCCCTAGAGTTGGACTCTGGCTAGAGAGAGAAGGCTGGTGGGCCCAGGGCAGGGGTACAGCTGGGGGCCAGAGATGCAGCACAGAGGGGAGGGGGCAGTAGGTGGTGGCTCCCCGGGGAAGCTGGCGGCCTCCGGTTTCCGGCCAGCCCAGCCGTCCGCTGGCCCATCTGGAATCACTTAGCCCCTACCACCATTAACCCTTGGTGGGCACCAGGACTATTACTCCTGCTTTCAACTGAGACATGGGTGGGAGATGCAAAGTTTTGTGGAGCACTACTGGGCACTTGCCCAGGGCAAGACAATAGAAACAGAAGTGTCACTACTGGGAGGGCAAATTCTGGAGCCAGATACAGAGCTAGGTACAAATCCCAGTGTCTCCGGTGCTAAGCTGTGTGACCTTGGGCGAGTCACTTAAACTCCTGGGCCTCAGTTTCCACCTGTGGAAAATAAAGAGAATTCAAAAACTGATTCATAAGACTTCTGAGATTTTTAATGAATTCAAGTGCTTGGTACAATGGCTGAAGTGTAATTACTGGAATAGTGAGTTTCCCTCTTGTGAGCAGCATTCGGTCACTGTGTGCCTCTCGGCCAAGCCTTCCCTTCTCTGGGCCTCTGTTTCCCCTTGTGCACTCTGAAGGAACAAATAATACTCAGGCACATGAGCAGAGCATTATGTCACACTCGGGTGGTCAATTTGGCCTCCAGCCCCACTGTGAACAGGACAAGCCATGGGCATTCTCCCATCTGTCCAGATCGTGGGAGCCCAGTTTGGCCTCAGACAATCCTGCCTTGAGGAAGGCTGCACAGAGAGTGGGTGGGCAGAACATGGAGTATGAGGAGTCCTGCCTGAGGGGAGGACTCCACATACTGGGATCGGGGGAAGGGGTAAGGAAGAGCTCTGGGCCTTGGGGTTCAGCACTGCCCCTCCCCACAGCATGGTGGCACACTCAAGGGTTAAGTGTCTGCGCTCTGATTTCAGTTCTTCCAACCCAGCTTTGCCACCGCCTAGCTGTATGACAGTTATCTTACTGCACAGTTATCTTACCTGAGCTCTCTAACCCAACTGTTAAATGGGGATGCATGTGCCCACCTCCCAGGGTTGTGGAGAGGCCTGAATAAATCATGTAACTAGTGTTTTGTGCAAGTCCTAGAGCAGAAAGTACCACAAAAGGTGCTGGATCTTCAGGTGTCACTGGGAGCTTCAGTCACAGAAGTTCTCCCCCCCACCCCCATCAGGGAAGGAGGTAAGCTTATTCAAGCTGCCCATTTCACAGCTTGAAATGACTAAGGCCAGTGATGGAAAAAGCAGCTTGGGCAAGGCCATATGATGTGTCAGCCACAGCCTGGGACTGGAACTGAGGCTTTTGTCTAGACTCTTAGCCCCATGCTCTTCCCCAAAGGAGGGAACCAGGCTGAACAGCCCCCTTGCCAAGACCCCCACCCACTCACGCTTGTCAGAACTGGAAGCAGCAGCACTCAGTGGGGTGGGAGGAGGGGGCCGGAAAGGGAGCCTGAGTGGGAGAATTCCCAGTAGGCCTGCTCAGCACTCACTTAGGCAGGGCCAGCGGCCACCACATCTGGCTCTCCCACGCTCCCCTGTGCTCCCCAGGCTGGGGGGGAGGGGGACTGAGGAGGAAGCAGCACACATGTCCCTGGCATCCACAAAGTCATCTTGGATGTTAGAGCCAGAAGGGCCCTAAGGGGTGTGTCCACTGTGCAAGCATGGAAACTGAGGCCCAGAGAGTGGAAGGGGCCTTGCTTGAGGTTCAGGGGGTGGGTGGCCTGGAATACCAGAATCCTGATCCCCAGATCAGTGTCCTTTCACCCACTCATGCCCTGAGCAAAGCAGGTAGGGTAGATCCTTGTGCCTGTGGCTGCATGGTGGCTATCCCAGTGAGGGTGGGGTGGGGCCATGGGTGGCCTTTGGACTACAATCCCTCCCTGGATCCTAGGATCCCTCATATTACCAGACTGTAGCCACCCAAGTCTTCCAGGATCCCAGGAGATGAGGACTTTAAGACAGTCCACTCAGCCTCTCCATAGCCCCCTGCTGGGTCCCTTTCTGCCCAGAACCTCAGGAAACTGGGTCATGTCCTTCTGTTACCCACAGATGGCTCAAGAACACCAGCAGAACAGGGCCCTTGGAAGCCACATATCTTACCCTTACCAGACACGCTGGCTCCTAAGGTCCAGAGAAGGCCAGGACCTGCTTGAGACCACACAGCAGGTGTGGGATGGGGGCAATAGGATTCTAACGCCCAGGCTGCTCTGTTTCTCCAGCCATCCATGCAACAGAAGTTAAGTAAGCATCTATTGTGTGCTCTGTCCTTAGAGATTGCAAGCCAACACAGAGGAAACCACAAATTAATAACATCTAGTATAACCATGATGGGAGACAGAGAATCATGGGCTGGTAGATGAGGGATCTTGCCCAGATAGAGTAAGGTTTTTCCGGGGAAGAAACATTTCACCTGAGACCTGAGGTTGTGAGGCAATACACATGCAGAAGTGAGAACAGTGCTTGAGGCAGAGGGAACAGCATATGCAAAAGCTTGGAGGCCAGAATGAGCTTGGCGTATTTGAACATAGAGTAGAGAATACTCGAGGCACCAAGAGTGGGCAGGGTGAAGTATGAGGCTAGAGAGGCAGTTAGGGGCCCAGTATCAGGGGCTGGTGGGCCTGAGAATGAGTCTTGGTTTTATCCTGATGGTTGGTAAGGTCCACTGTAGGGCTTTTAAAAGGGGACTTATGAGGCCAAGACACGGTGGTGCCCTATGGAGGATGGACTAAAGGGGTGGGAAGTGGGGTCTGGAGGTGAGGCAGGGGGCTAGTGGAGTCTGCTGTGGTCAGTTGTGGACTGAATGCTGCTCACATGTCCTGCCACACTTCCCTCAACTCCTTTCCCATGTGAAAGGCTGCAGAAATTCATCCCATCAGGGAGTTTGGGCTTCTGGTTCCCCAGTCTGTGCTTTACTACTAACTCATG